CATGAGATGCATGCATTAACAATCCAAGTTTACTACCGTGAAAGGACCGGATTAATAACAAGCGAATTAATCGATCGATTCTAGTAATAATTAATATATGAAATAAAACTAGTTGATCCTTAAAGTAATGCTCAAAATATTAATATGAAACAGGAATAGGAATTAATTAATATTCAAGGAAGAAGATTAAAGAAAATAACTCACAACTTACAATTCATTAAGCTTCAAAGTAGCAAAACCAAGATGGAAGAGTTTAGCTCCTCATTTGGAGACTCAACATCATGAAAATATAAAGAAAGAACTTATCTAGATTGAGCTTAGAAGTGTATAGGAATTGGTCTATAATTGTGAAGGAAAGGAGGTGTATTTATAGGCTTTTGGGAATGCAGCTCGGGTACCCGATCGGGTATATACACGGTACCCGACCGGGTATGTGTAAAACCTTAGATTCGAGGTATACTCGATCAATTTCAAGGTTAAAATTAAAGGCATACCCGATCGGGTGTGTCGGTGTACCCGATCGGGTATAACTAATATCTTCTCCAATAAAAGTTGTCTTAAGTAAGAAAGATGTTTTCCAAAAAACCAGATTTTGAATATATCTTCTCAAAATCATACTTGATATTCAACCACCAAAATTCATGTTAACTAATCTTTTCTAAATTCTTTTAAAGACGAGGGATCTCCGAAAAAGAGAACTCAAACCAAGCAAATATGTAAGTCACCAACTACCATGCACGTGGTTGCATAATTGTCCATCAAATGCAAGGCCGGTCCTAGGGGGAGGGCAGCAGGGGCGATCGCCCTAGGCCCGAAAAAAAGTAGAAAGAAAATTAGGCTCAAGTTTTTTTCTTTATATGTAATTTGAGTAGACTTCTTTTTTTATTTATAACTTCAATTGATTAATCAGACCTAATGCATAATTTTTGTTGACAATTTGAGAATTGTAAAACATAACTAAAAAGTCTTGAATGGAGCTAGACAAGTTTTAAAAAAGAATATAAATTTAGTTTTGACTTTTAAATAGAGTTGGTTTTGAGTCAACACATTTGTTGTTGAATGAATAAAAGCACGTCTCTTCACATCTTTTTGGCCTTTAAGACTTTTTATTCTTTTATTTACGGGAAAAGGGGCAAATAAGGTCACGTACTAACCAAAAAAGGTCAAATAAGGCCTTATTTATGAAGCTCTGTCCGGCCGGACAGAGCCTCTTAAATAAGGCATTATTTGACCTTTTTTGTTAGTACGTGACCTTATTTGCCCCTTTTCTCTTTATTTTCAAAATTACCAATTTATATTATTATCTTTGGGTTGTTGGTGCCTCCCATTCTCAAACATCATCCCAATTATCCATTATGCCTCAAAAAATGTAATGCATTAGCAATTTTAAACATTGCACATGTGATATTGGAAAAGATTTATTATAAAGCAATTATTGATGATTTTATTTCACAATGTTCTGTTGTGATACTTGTGTTGTTACTGTTGTCCAAATATGTAATTTATAATTTAAGTAATATGAATGTGAATTTCATCTTTATTTTATAACCTTTATTAGGATAGTTGTAGGGAGAATTCCTCAAATAGGAGTATTTTTTTTTTAATTTCAAAATAGGATTGTCATGTGTTTCTTTTCTGAATAAGAGTAATCAATGTTATGACATTTTAAAAAATAGCATAATAGAAGTAACAATTGAGCACAAGTAACTTACAAAATGAGCATTAATATGAAAGTTATAAGTTTTTTTAGTTGAACATTTAGACATTTTTATTTAACATCAAACATCTTCTATTGAGTATTAGAAAAATGCAATTGAGTATCATGGTTTGTTCTCCCGCATCTATAATCAACTCCTACGTAAACTTAATGTAATATAGTGCTTTTGGAATATGCATTGACGTAACATTTTAAAATGAGCATAACACCAATACCAAATGAGCATAGGTAACTTACAAAATGAACATTGACATGACAATAATAAGCTTTGTTAGTTGAACATCAAGACATTTTCATTGAGCATCAAACCTCCTCCATTGAGTATTAGAAACATGCAATTTGGTATCATGATCTCTACTCTCGTGCCTATAATCAGCTCATATGTGAATCTAATGTAATTGATAGCATTGAAATATGCATGAATATGACATTTTAAAACAACACAAACTAATACCAAATGAGTATACATAACTTACAAAATGAGTTTCGAAAATTCATTTGTGTATGCTCATTTCTTTTGATCGTTATGCTCATTCGAATATAACACACCTATACCACAAACCTTTTTCTATAGTAAATTCGTTGTTAACAATTTAATAAAATATTACTACCTCCGTCCCTTTTATATTTGGATTGAAGAGGGTGGCACGAGTTTTAAGAACAGTGGGTTTGTGTGGTTGATATTAATTGATAAAGTAAGAATAAAGTAAGAATGATTTTGAGCCACACAAACTTTACCAAATAAGGTATGCGACAATTAAATAAGGACATCCCAATATGGTAAAACGAGACATTAAAAGGGAACAGAGGGAGTATTATATATGACAATGAGAAATATAATATTTTTATATTAAAACTAATTTATAGTTTTTTGTTCTTGAATTACAAATATATCGTGTTCTTTGTATAATATTTACCCATGCATATTTATTTGCACTTTACTCATTTTAGTATAACACAAACCTCATATTAGTAATTAACACACCATATTTAATAATCTAATAAATAATCATCTTAAAATTAAAAATTAAAAAACAAAACATTAATACCTAGAATATTTTTTAGTGCACAAATAAATAAGGTTGATTGGAAAAGAAAATACAAACTCAACATTAAATAATATTTTATATATTACATTTTCATATTAATCAAATAAAAAACTAAAGCAATAGGTTATTAAGGGAGTGTTTGCGATTGCTTGTACTTTTTAAAAGTGATTTTTTTAAAAGATTATTGGAAAAGTGATTTCTTGTAAAAGTTGGTAGTGTTTGGGAATAGAAGTGATTAAAATGAAAAAGGTAAAGTTGGAGTGTTTGATAAAAAAAGTGATTTTTGATGTATTGTTTTGTTAAAGTACAAAGATGCCCTTCACCAAAATATACTCCGTATATACTCGTCTCTCTAATTATCGAGTTTCTTTCTTTCACTCTTTCAGCCCCCTTCACCATTTCTTTCTTGATTTCTGATTTTCCTGTGTAAGTAGTGCAGTTCATAGCATCTCTGTATTGTAAAGGTGTCAAATGGACTCAACCCATATTATTGCTCCAAAATAAGGAGCCAAGAGGATATATATACACACACGTTCCAATGTTCCATGCCTTCGATTAGTGGATCTAAATCTTCAATACTCTGTATATGTTTGCATATATATATATATACAACAGTATATATTTATATTAAAGCTGCTAAATTAATTATTTAGCTCAAACACTCGGTGAAAATGGACGGAATTAATACATCAATCTTCTCTACTCGACGATCTATCATTTGCCAAGCCAACCGTTCTTCCATATATATATATATATGGAAGAGGAGGGAGTATGGTTTTATGGGATATGGCGGTGGACGGTGGTTTGTGGAACAGAAGCAGGGTATGGCGATGGGGTTCGTGGAACAGATCTGTTTATTCGGGTTGGGAGAATTTGTACCAAACTAAAACCATTTGTGTTTCGGTTCGGTTTCGGTTCGGTTCGGTTTGAAGTTCGGTTTACCAAAGTAAAAAATATTATGTTTAATTTAATTTGATTTGATTCGTTTGCTTATGTTTATTATTTTATTTGATCAAGTTCTATATTTTAGAATTAGAAAATGAAAGTAGTAGTCCATCTCATCTTTTTTAATTTATTGATTATTTAAATAAAATGTAAAAGGAAATAAAAGATAGAATAATAAATAATAAAATATTATAAATTAAAACTTCTAACATCTTTTTTATCACTACAAAAAATTCACTTCCTACAAAAAATAAGATAGTTGATTAGTATTTATAATAGAAATAATTGCATAAATATGACCAAAATAAAGATGGTTTACAAAAATATGATTAGTTACTAGAGTAGTAATGAAATCATAGTAATTCATGTTCAAGTTTTGAACTTTTAGTACCACAACATTACGTTGTAGTAATGAATAGTCATATTTATGTAATTAAGTTTTATTTAAGTAATATTCTTGTAAAAAACCCTTTATAATATCACATAAAATATTCAAAAAAAACCTAAAAGGGTTAGTGGTACAAATGTTGTAATATTCACAATTTTATTCAAATGAATCATGTAAAAATATAAATGCAATTTGCTATTGTTATCGCCAAACATAATAAATAAAAATATGTCGTATTAGCTAACTTTGTCATAGTGAATGTATGAAATGTGTAAAAGTCAAAATGATACGAGTATATGCTTAAATATGTATTTTTATGTCTAAATTATTTATTTATATCTTAACAATGAAGAGTGAAGATAAATACAAAGTAGATATATATGTTGTTCGGTGTTCGGTTCCGTTTACGGTTTTTCCATTTTTAAACCAAACCACCAAAGTACCAAACCATTCGATTTGAGCAAATGTTTACCAAATGGTTTACTTAAGTAAACCCAAACCAAACCAAATTAACCCACCAATTTTAATAATATATGAAAGTCTTTTTGAGTTTCTCTAGTTCGGTTCGGTTTTTATTGGTTTCGATTCGGTTTGGTTCGGTTTAATACGGTTTGGAAGAAATAGTACCAAACTCAAACCAAATTGCATACGGTTCGGTTTTGGTTCGTTTTAGTTCGGTTTGGTACGGTTCGGTTAAACCAAACCGTTATGCCCACCCCTAGTTTTTAGTCGTATTTAGAGTAATATCTCATAGTTTTATTATACTTCCTAAATTTTACTTTAAGTAAGTATAATTTATTGTTTGTCTTGGAAATAAGGCCATAAAAGTATATCGCCCATAGGCCCAAAACTGGACAGCACCTGCCCTAATCAAATAGACACGTTTCATGTTTGAGAATTTCATCCGTGTTCAAATATTGCAATTTGTGTGCCTCGGGAAAGCAGAAACCCCCAGATCCCGATCAAAGCTGTTTTCCATCATGCCTAGCTCCAGTCGAGATAAAGCTGCAGAAAGCGAACTGCCGGAAGGGATAAAGGAAAGGATTTTGGAGCGGATGCCCACTCGAGACGCCGCCAGAAGTGCTCTGCTCTCAACTCAGTGGAGGGATGCTTGGCACCGCCAAGGGCGGCTCATCTTTGGCAGGGCCTTCTTCAACTCCGTTGAAAACAGTAAATTTTCTCGGGACGGCCGCCTGTCTGCGGTAAGCATAATAAACAACATTCTCCTCCTCCGGGCAGCACCTATAAAGAAATTCACCTTAAACATATATCGCTCATATGACCTGCCGTCGCCGAAACAGTCTGATATAGACCGGTGGTGTCTTTTTCTTTCAAGAAACGGCGTTGAGGAACTTCACCTCTCTGCTCGTTATGCCGGACAAAAGTATAAGGTACCATCCTGTCTATTGTCATGCAAGACCATCAAGCAACTGACACTTGATCGTTTCGTGTTTTACTTGCCGGCAAATGCTCCCTGTATATTCTCCGGGCTGTCGTCGTCAAATTTCAGAAGGGTGGAGTTCAGGGGTAAAGATAAGAGACTGGTCTTTAGCATGCCGAAGCTTGAGAAGCTGGATATCTATACGTGTGCTGGTATTCCTAATTTTGTCGCCAAAGCTCCCAATCTTAAAAGTTTGTCTCTATTTGGTTCTCTAGGGAGGACTGGGAGCAGATTGCTCAGGTTCCATTTGAGCTCCATTAGTAGGCTACATCTCTGTTTGGTGAGATCCTTTTTTTTCATATACTGAAATAAATTTGTCCCAATATTGAAATGTTAGATATGTATTTCACAGATAGTATGTGAGATCCTTGTTTCAGAGAATAGTGTCACCCTCAATTGTCCAAATTATGGTAAATTTGGTCCTTTAGGGTGAAATATATTTCCCGTACATTTTAATACGACGACTTTTTGATGGATTAAAAGTGCTATTTTGCCTTCTATTTATTAGTCTATTACTCGATTAATTACATTAGTACCCTACATCTCTCTTCTAAGTATAGGTTGTATTATGTTTTAGTCTTATTTAATTTATAGAATATTATCTTCTTACTTCACTTTTGTTTTTAATTTTATGTCATGGCTAACTTTCTTGTTTGCTTTTTCTATTTCTTAAGGAGAGGGCTGCTGCGATGGCCTCAGTCTTCCCAACTGAGGCAATAAATCTGCAAGAACTCAAGCTTGATGGCTTCAATTTTGGTTTTAACTACCATCTTGCCTTTGTGGTCAAATTACTTAAAAAGTCCCCCAAGCTATGGGCGCTGCAGATTAATATTCAGGAAGGTTCTGAAAATGCAGATCCAACACTTTTGGAGGATCTTAGTAAAGAGGATTTGAGGATGCTTGAGACCGTGAAACTCGATGAGTTTACAGGAACCCAAATCGAAATGTGCCTTGTGAGATTGTTACTGTTGATGGTATTGGCCCATCTCTCTTGGCTTGATCCATTCCCGTGTCATCCTTGGTCCACCTCTATTTAATAGTTTGGTCTCCTATTAAATGATCTGGCCCATTTGAGCTGTCAGCCTGACTCAGCCCATCCGCCCACTTTGTTTTCTATCCAGCCCGTGACCCTGTGGCCCCTTGATATATTTGTCTGGATGTCTCCAGAACCTCCTATTTGATCCTCTCCTCTTTCTCTCTACACGATGAGACACTCAGTGCGTTGCCCCTTTCCTAGAGTGAGAGAGAGTCTGAATCACCTGTGTGCTGTGCTCCGGTCAGCCTCCGGTGACCTTTGGGGACCCTTTGTTGGGCTTCACTCTGGTCAGGTTGTTTGGGTGGGTTGTTCTCCGTTGGGTTCTCTGGGCGTGGCTGGGGGGTTTGGGTACCATACGAGAGTGTAGATGGTTGTTGCCCTTCATCTCCCCTGAACTGCAACCTTGGTGGTGGATGTGAGCTTGCCTTAGGGCTGTTGGTGTTTGAGGTCTGAGCTGGTAGAGGATCCTGACAGTGGTATCAGAGCTTGGACGCCGCCTCTCACTGACGCCGGGAACTCGCCGGAGACAGGGACCATCCAAACCGGTAACGCCAGGTGCTCCGTCGGAGATTGGTAAGTCGGGTGTCGTTTCAGTGACACCCGCTCAGGTATAAGTCTGAAACCCTAACCTCTGGGCTGCCGGAGTGCCACCGGCCTCTGTGTTGCATGGGTGGACTTGTAACCCTAGGTTATAAATCTGCCGAGTAGAAACCCTAGAACAACCCTTGCATGTACAGTATCTGTTAGCACAGATCTGTAGAAACCCTAGGTGTAATTCGGTTGTGCATGAGTGGACCAATCTGTGTCGAACTTGGCCACTGATTATCTGTGGACTCTGATTGGCATATTAATCTGACTCTTTGAGTGTCTTAGTCATTGATCTGCCACCCTTGTGTGTTTACCTCTGAACTCTTCCTAGCATTATTGTACTCTGCTCTTTACTGTTGTATTGCCTGTTTAATCTCTGCTCAGTCTGTCTGGCTCTACTCTCTAGTCTGAGTTCTGGTAATTGTGTAGCTTTGAACCCCTAGTTGGCTAAGGCACCTGAGGTTAGGGCTAAGGGATACCCTGCCAGCCACTTCAGTGGCCCCGGAACTGCGTGGTCTCTTAGTCCGCAGCCTGATCCTCTAGGGTTAAGCTTTTATATTACCTGAATTTCAGTTGTTGAGTGTAATCTGTTACCATGGCTTCTAACCTATATGGAATGATGCCTTTTAATGGTAAAACTGACTTTGATATATGGAAACAAAAGATTAAATGTGTGTTAATTCAACAGAAAGTGTTCAGAGCTGTTACTAATCAATACTTAGAAACTGAGGATAAACCTAAACAAGTTGAGATGAATGAGACAGCCTGTTCAACAATATACTTAAACCTGTCTGACTCTGTCCTTAGAAAGGTTGGAGTCATTGAGTCTGCTAAGGCCCTCTGGGATAAATTAGAATCTCTATATACGGATACTTCCCTTCCTGGTAAACTGTTTTTGTTGGAAAAGTTTTTTAGGTTCAGACTTGACCTAACAAAAGATATTGATGAAAACCTTGATGTTTTTAATAAACTAATCCAAAACATTAAGCAGGCTGGGGATAAACATATAGATGATTACACTGCAATAGTTTTGCTAAATGCCATACCTGATTCCTATAATGATGTTAAGTCAGCCATTAAGTATGGGAGGGATGATATTACCCTAGATATTGTTATTAATGGTCTGAGAAGTAAAGAATTGGACTTAAAACATTCTAGAAGTCATCATAGGGAATCTGGGGAAGCTCTGCTTGTTAGAGGAAGGTCTAAAAGCAGGTCTAGGCATCCTAAGAAGGATAATCATGACAAAGGAAATAAGCAAACTGGAAAGAAGAGGTTTAAGTCTAGAAAAAGGGTTTGTTACAACTGTGGTAACCCAGGACATTACATAAAAGACTGTACCCAACCTAAAAAGAATGACCAGGCTAATGTTGTGACCAATAAGGATGTAGAAGATGATGTCTTTATGGTCTGTGATGAAGCCAATTCTGTGCTTAGTAGTTTGACTGAAACTGAATGGTTAATAGACTCAGGTTGTACCTACCATATGACTCCTTTTAGAAATCTGTTTTCATCCTATAGCTTATGTGACACTGGTTTTGTTTCCTTAGCTGATAGTAAAAGGTGTAAGGTCCTTGGTATTGGTGACATCTGTCTAAAATTTGAAAATGGAACTGTCTTTCAAATAAAAAATGTTAGACATGTACCTGATTTAAGACACAACCTGTTTTCAGTATCTGCTTTTGAAGAAGGTGGTCTTGAGGGTAAATGGGGAAATGGGTGTATGAAAATCTTAAAAAACTCCCTTGTTTTGTTCAAAGCTTTGAAACAGAACAATCTGTATGTTGTCCATGCTAAACCTTTTTCTGAAAATGCTAATGCTGTACTTAATGACAAGTCTGTGCTTTGGCACCAACGACTTGGTCATATGAGTAATAAAGGATTAAACATTTTGCATAAAAATGGGTGTTTTGGAACTGACTTGGTGTCACCTATACCATTCTGTGAAGGTTGTGTTCTAGGTAAACAACATAGGGTTCAATTTCCTGTCTCTAGCTATCCTAGTGAACCTAAGTCCAAAACTGTCCTTGACTACATACATGCTGATGTGTGAGGTCCTTCCAGTGTCCCTACCCATGGGGGTAGGAGGTATTTCTTGTCTATAATTGATGACTTTTCTAGAAAAGTCTGGGTTTGTTTGTTAGAACATAAATCTGATGTGTACATTAAGTTTAAAGAATGGAAAATTATGATAGAAAACCAAACTGGATGTAAGGTTAAAACCCTTAGAACTGACAATGGCTTAGAATTTTGCAATAATGACATGGATAAGTTGTGTATTGAAAATGGGATTAGGAGACACAAAACTGTGCCCTATACTCCCCAGCAAAATGGTTTGGCTGAGAGAATGAATAGGACCCTCCTTGATAAGGTTAGAAGTATGCTTGCTACTTCTGGTCTCCCCAAGAAGTTTTGGGGAGAAGCTGTGAACACTGCTGTCTATTTAATCAATAGATCCCCTTCTGTGCCTTTAGGGGGTAAAACCCCTGAATCTGTTTTCTCTAGAAAGCCCATTGATCTGTCAAACTTAAGAGTTTTTGGGTGTGCTGCCTTTGTGCACCAACAAACTGACAAACTTGATCCTAGGTCTAAAAAGTGTGTTTTCCTAGGTTACCCTGAAGGTGTAAAAGGCTATAGGGTATGGGATAGAAATCAACCTGGTTTTAAAGTCATTATAAGCAGAAATGTTGTGTTTAATGAAATTGATTTTCCCTGCTTAGTTAAGACTGTGACTGACCATCAAACTGAACCTGATGGCACCCCTCCAAGTGAGGTGGAGCCTATCCAACCTGCTCCCACCCCTCTGTTTAATGAATCTGAGCCTCAAGATAATTCTGACCTTACCAACACTATGCATGATACCCACTCTACCCACAGTGAGGTGGAGCAGCACACTGATTCAAACAATAGTGAGACTATGCATGAAGTGTTTACTGAAAATGAGTCTGTTGATAACTCTCATGATATTGAGGATCAAGGTCTAGAAGGTATCAACTGGCTAGAGATAGAGTTAGGAGAAATATAAGGAAAATTTCTGATAGCATGACTGATTATGCTTTTCATCTCTATGATACTTCCTTGTTTGCCTTCTCTGTTTTTGAAACTCTTGATTTGAATGAACCTAAAACCTATCAGGAAGCCCTTGCCTCTAAAGAATCTAAAAATTGGCTTAGTGCTATGCGAAGTGAAATAGATTCCCTTAAGTTGAATAAAACTTGGACCCTAGTCCCTAGGGCTCCTAATTGTTCTGTTGTTGAGTGCAAATGGCTTTTCAAAGTTAAGGAGGAACCTAATGATATTAGGTTTAAGGCTAGGTTAGTTGCCAAAGGTTTCACTCAAAAAGAAGGGGTAGATTATGCTGAAATTTTTGCTCCTGTAGTGAAGTTTACTACAATTAGGTTGATGCTTGCTCTAGTTGCCCATAATGACTGGGAAATGAAACAGATGGATGTTACCACTGCCTTTTTACATGGTGAACTTGATAAGCAGATTTTTATGACCCAACCTGAGGGTTTTGTTGACCCTAAGTACCCTAGACATGTCTGTCTACTTAGGAAGGCCCTCTATGGCCTAAAACAATCACCTAGACAGTGGAACATTAAATTTGACAAATGCATGACTTCCTTGAGTTTCAAAAGGTCTGATTCTGACCCTTGCATGTATTTTAAGAATACTGACTTTGTACTTGTTTTCTTGTTGATCTATGTGGATGATATGCTCATTATTAGCCCCTCAGTGAATGCAATTAAGAATGTTCAAAAGTGTCTATGTGAGAATTTTGCTATGAAGGACCTAGGAGATGCTAAGAGAATCTTAGGGATTGATATCATTAGGGATAGGAGTAGATGTACCCTTACCCTTAATCAGGTCTCCTACCTTGATAAGGTTCTGAAAAAATTTAACATGAATTCTGCCCTACCTGTTAATGTGCCTCTAGCTCCTCATTTTGTCCTAAGTAAGGATCAGTCTCCTAAGACTGGCCCTGAAACCGATATGATGAAGTCTGTACCCTATTCCAATGCAATAGGGTCGGTTATGTATCTCATGGTAAGCACCAGGCCTGATATTGCCTATGCAGTCAGCTGCTTAAGCAGATATATGGCCAACCCTGGGATGCCTCATTGGAATGCCCTGAAATGGTTGCTTAGGTACCTTAAGGGTACCACCTCTCATGGTCTTGTGTTTTCTAAATCTGATTCTGGTATTTGTCTTACTGGCTATGTTGATTCCAATTATGCAAATGATAGGGATAATAGGAAGTCTACTACTTCTTATATTTTTACTTTGTGTGGTTCTTGCATAAGTTGGAAATCCCAACTTCAGCCTATTGTTGCACTTTCTACTACTGAATCTGAATACGTTGCAGCAACTGAGGCCTTTAAAGAGGCTATCTGGCTGAAACGTATTCTATCTGAAATTGGTTTTCTTAGACAGGTTGTAACTATGTACTCTGACAGCCAGTCTGCTATACAATTATGCAAAAATCTAGTATTTCATGACATGACCAAGCACATTGATGTCAGGTTCCACTTCATCAGGGACATTGTTGACAAAGGAGGGGTGAAGCTATGCAAAATAGCTTCTGAATTCAACCCTGCTGATATGGGGACTAAATGTCTCACTTTTGAAAAACTGTTTTCTTGTAAACGTATTCTTAATTTAGATTGTGGCTGATGAGAACAGATTAAAACAAGAAAAACCGGCGATGATGATACTCCCTTTCACATTTGTGCTCTACACCACCAAGGGGACCAATAAGGTGGAGATTGTTGATGGTATTGGCCCACCTCTCTTGGCTTGATCCATTCCCGTGTCATCCTTGGTCCACCTCTATTTAATAGTTTGGTCTCCTATTAAATGATCTGGCCCATTTGAGCTGTCAGCCTGACTCAGCCCATCCGCCCACTTTGTTTTCTATCCAGCCCGTGACCCTGTGGCCCCTTGATATATTTGTCTGGATGTCTCCAGAACCTCCTATTTGATCCTCTCCTCTTTCTCTCTACACGATGAGACACTCAGTGCGTTGCCCCTTTCCTAGAGTGAGAGAGAGTCTGAATCACCTGTGTGCTGTGCTCCGGTCAGCCTCCGGTGACCTTTGGGGACCCTTTGTTGGGCTTCACTCTGGTCAGGTTGTTTGGGTGGGTTGTTCTCCGTTGGGTTCTCTGGGCGTGGCTGGGGGGTTTGGGTACCATACGAGAGTGTAGATGGTTGTTGCCCTTCATCTCCCCTGAACTGCAACCTTGGTGGTGGATGTGAGCTTGCCTTAGGGCTGTTGGTGTTTGAGGTCTGAGCTGGTAGAGGATCCTGACAGTTACTCTCAAATTCGCCTGCACTCCACCACGTTGTCATTCGTGAAGCTATAGATATCAATGAGTCTTTGGCTTCAGCGGCCCCAAAGAAACTGTTAAGCTTTCCTCGTTCGTCTCCGATAGCACAAATTGTCTACAAGGACGACTACAAACCCCTGTAAAAGAAAGATCTTGTGGCATGTTAACAAGTTATCGACTTCTGGCCCGCCTTATGGGAATATTTTGCCAGTTAATTTGACCGGCCTTGTGGTATGAAAGTTTTTGCCAGACATGTATCGAAAAAGTTGAAATTCCATGTATAGAAGATGCAACTAACTAACTAAGGAATAGGCTTATCCTGAAGGTGTATGGAAATCGTTTTGTTGTGTACGTTGTTACTGGTAGGCGCTAGGCAGTTCGTATGTACCGTACGTGACAAATTGTCTCTCTTTTTGTTTTGTAAAGGTTAGCAATTTGTCATGATCGATATTTCACTTCTTGTGTAGCAACTTTCTACTTGATCAAATCTCTAAGATTTTTTTCCCTGTGAAAGCGCAAAATGGCAAAGCCAACTTCTATTTCTATACTTTCTTAATTTTGAGCTAGTCCTTTTTTGCTATTCAATTTGTGACAAATGGAGTATTATTTCTCTCATATTAAAAATTAATTCATTATTCCTTTTACTTAAGCTTAATTTATATTAGAATATTCTTTATACTTTCTTTAGTGTCTCGATTCCAATAGGAATCTAAATTTGATTTTGTTATTTTGAAACTTGTTAAATATTAAAGTTGTGAGTTATTTTTTTAAACTTTGCCTTAATACTGATTCTTCCTCACCTATGTTAATGTTGAGGTGTGTCATATTGATGATTGGTTAGTGATTTAAAATTGAATCATAAAATCAGAGCAATGTATATATATGAAGTTTTTTTTTGATCGTATATATATGAAGTTGAAGAGTGAGTCAATATCTTCATGTCATCGATATGTAGTATGCTAACTATATTGGAGGGTAATTTTTCAGCCAACAAGTTAACGTGTATTACTATATCACATAGTCTATTGGGTGGGACACATTGTAACGTGCAAAAGATGAGTATAGCACAGATACACATGCTACATTAGATGTGTGGATATAATTGAAAAGACTGCTTGAAAAATGAGACTATCAGACAAAAGGTGAGAGAAACACAAATGAGACTATCAGACAAAAGGTGAGAGAAACACTTATTAAATATACGATGTGTGAGTCTCAATTGTGATGGTTTGGTAATGTTTTTAGAGCACCGAGTGATGTACCTCTTGGACAATTTCATAGGCGTGGGGAGAGAGAAAATTCAAAGAGACGTGAGTTAGCAAGCAGTTAGAATCAGGGGCGGAACCAGGGGTGGGCGAGCCGGTGCCGGCGCCACCCCTTCGCCGGAGTGATTAAGGTATATATAGGTTTAAGTCATGTGGCGCCCCGGGTCGTCTTCTACCTTCTTCTCCCGTTTTCCTCTGTTGTTTTGCGAATTGCCTTGTTGCGATGCTATGTTTCCGGTTGCTTATGTTTTCACTTAATCCAAACGGCATCGTTTGGTTAAGTTATAGGAGTACTAAAATTAAGAACGACATCGCAGGAGCCTTAGCTATTGCGTTACTTGCGTCCAAACGGGCAGACCTAATTTGCTAATTGGGCTTTGAAAACTTAAGAGAGAAATTTGAGAAGAGTCAATATTTTTGCATGCTTGCTCGACCTGCTCGTTTCAACAATTCAGCCACTGATGCAGCCATGCAGGGAGCATAATTCCAACAATAAAACCAACAATTCGGAGTATAATTTCAAAATTTCTGAATTGTTAATTTGCTTTAGGCTTTTAACAATTAAGCTTGTGTTAGAGTGTGTCTTGTTTACTCAATTACTTCCTATTTTATTTCTTGATTTTAAATTTATTTTAATGGTCTTTAATTTGTTTACTGATTTACTAATGTACTTAATTACCTTAGTTTTTACCTAAGTTAGTTCTTTAATTTACTTACTTAAGCTATCTACCATTTTAAATAACTCAGATCAGTAAAAATGACTATGATTCACATCACATACTTTGTATGTTATATGTGAACTTAAGATTTTACTACCTCCGTCCCAGGGACAAGTTCTCACTTTTCTTTTTTGGCAGTCCCAATAAAAAGTTCTCATTTCCCTAAATGGAAAGTTATCCTACATCAAAACAGTGCAAAACAGTGTCAAACAGTGTCGAAACAGTGTCAAACAGTGTCGAAACAGTGCCAAACAGTGTCGAAACAGTGCCAAGCAGTAAAATTTACCCCTCAGTAACTTTATTTCCTTAATATGTGTGAAAGTCAACCCGGGAACTTCTCCCTAGGACGGAGTATAATTTTATAATTTGGAACGGGAGAAGGGGCAAATAAGTCCTCGAACTAACCAAAAAAGTGCAAATAACCCCTTATATAGGAGACTCTGTCCGGATGTCGTCATTTTGGGAGTTTCTTGGTGGAATTTTTTAATGATCTTCGTCATTAAGTCTAGTTTAGCCATACCTAATTTCAGCTAAAAATTCAACCGTGAAGGTACTCAAATGATTTTCTGAAATATACTGTGTTGTTCAACTAGCAGTTATCTTCAAAAATTCATTTGACTACCTTCCCGATTGAATTTTTAGCTGAAATTGGGTATGGCTAAACTAGACTTAATGAATAAGATGCTCAAAAAATTTCATCAAAAATTTCCACCAGAAACCTCCCTAAATGGCGACACCCGGACAGAACATCCTATATAAGGGCTTATTTGCACTTTTTTGGTTAGTTCGAGGGCTTATTTGCCCCTTTTCTCATTTGGAACTTATGATTTAATAATTTGCCAGATTGCATGCCTATGTTATATTACAATTTGTAAGAAGGGGGTGATGGTTCTTCTAAACGAGGTAACGAAGAAATTACGATATTTTTATTTGAACTAATTTCAGTTCCAAATGAGAACCAATCAGACTAGACTTAACATTTCAAACCACACTCCATAGTTGTAAAATACACATATAGACCAAACATCTACATGGTCAGACTTAAACAACCAAATCAGATCAGAAAATTCTAGTCCATTTAAAATCATCCCTAATAGGGGAAAAATCTCGTTTGGAATTCTTAGCCACCCCTAAAAAATTGTTCTAGTTTCGCCACTGGTTAGAATAAATTATACTACGTGGAATAGAGGACTTGAGAAGTGGTAGGGTCGGATACCCGACCGAGTATATAGAGTACCTAAACGGGTATCCTCAGCGGTAGCATGGAAGTCATACTCGAACGAGTGTGTCAGCATACTTGATCAGATATAAAGACAAATTTGATAAAATATCCCTGCATATTAATTGTTATCTGGATTTTATTTTGACACCTGAATCACGTCAATAATCGATCGGGTACCGTATAGGAAAGGTCTTGATACTCTCTCACTCTCAACATATTATAAATATGAATTTAGTAAGTATGTCGCTTTATTATTATAGAAATTGCTCTAAATATGAATAAAACTTAAAAAAATACACAAATAGGTCTATATATGTTTTATTTGAAATGAAAGGTATTTGATCCGATTAGAAGTATACATAAAACTTCCACTATTATGCTACTTGCAATGTTAGGGGTGCATGGAAGTCCCATATTAGAGCATCTCCAATAGAAATGTGGATTGGAGAGCTTTAAATGTAGACTCATCAATACTTAAACAGGTTGTTAACGATTAAGTGGGAATGAGTTGTGAAAATAGACAGTTAAACTAAAACCCGTTCTCCAATGCAACCGTGGGTTTTCCGACGGTGCTCCTTTTATTTGCTGCAAAATAAAAGAGAATTGAAATAAAATTGAATTAAGATAACTCCGTACAAATTTGCTGTGTCATAGCCTCTGAAAGGCTTTCTGAAATCAGAAATCCAAATTGACGGTTTGCATATTTTAGAATGCCAACTCAGACTCACTTTTAATACCCACATCCGAATTGGAGACAATTTCTTTACTTCTACCTCAATTCTATTCATGTGGCACTCCATTCTTTGGCAAATGTACCAATGCGGTCACCACATCCATTAGGCACATTTGCAGCCTTTCAAAAACAGACATGCCAATTAAAAATCTTAAAGTTGTAGCATCAACTACTGGAGAATACGTCTCATCATAATCGATTCCTGGCATTTCAGAAAAACCTTGGGCAATAAGTCGGGCTTTGTATCTAACGATTTCATTTTTCTCATTGCGTTTATGCACAAAAACCCATTTAAAACCGACAGGTTTTACGCCTTTTGGCGTATGGACTATTGGTCCAAAAACATTACGTTTTTCTAGCGATTTTAATTCTACCTGAATTGCTTCATTCCATTTTGGCCAATCATTTTTACGACGACATTCGTCAATCGATTTAGCCACGAATCGATAAACAAGTAATTGGAGAAGAGAGATAAACTAAAGCAATTCAAAACTAGCTAAGACCGAGATGGTCGAAGTATGTGGATTCACAAAAGATAAACAAGCCTGGTGCCTTTATTTATGTAATTGGTATTATATATGTACTCATGTTTGTTCTGGTTGGCTTTTCTCAACATGACAGGTCCTATCAAAACCACAAACATTGGAGGGTATGGACTACAATTTTTTCTTCAATATGCAGCATTCTCTTTGAAGGATGATAATCTGGCTTTTCCACCTTGTTTGATCGTATTACTTATTCATGTCCTTTTATAGTGGTAGTAAATAAGTCTATTTGTGGGGCAAGCTAGGTGTGGCGTTGCTTATTGAACAACATATTGTCATTTCTAATTCTTTCTATTTGAGTGTGCAGCTTTCCTATTGTCTGACATTAAGTTACTGCAATATTTCATTCTTATTATTATGTTTCTAAGTGTGTGTTTCTTATTGTTTATTTGTTTTCCTCTTTTGAAAAGTATATTGATCATATAGGCGTGAACATGGACTTTGCTCTGCAGGAATGTTAACTTCAGTTGATGATTCCATATTTTTCTTATCAACTAGATTTTTACTAAAAAATAACTTGTTTTAGTGTATACATATGATCTTTCTCATACTCCATATGTAAACTACCAGATCATGATACCTTTAGGCTCATCTATTCAGGAATATTATTTATTTCATATGGTGAAAGTTCTGGTTGGAAGCAAGAGAAAACTTAATTAGAAATGAAAACCAGAACATGAAAGGCTAGCAACAATATAAGTTGTAAAAACAGGGGACTTTCTGAAACTTCCTGTCCCTCTTTGCTTTCAGGGGAGCCAAACAGGGCACGTTCTGACTCAAGGCATGGCAGGACCTTGCAAGGAATTCTGGAGGCCCCCCTTGGAAGATTGCAAGAGTAGGGTGCTGCTATAGCTGGATTGGTAAATGATTATATTCATTTTTTTTGCTATTACTGAGCATTTTTCTTGTATTATGTGACCCCCTTGATCTTTTTTATGAGCTGTGAGCAGGTTGGGGATGCATCTGATGCCCATCCCGGCATGCCACAATTTGCTGAACTGGGTTTTGTCCAAGTATCTGCTGTAGAATTGTCAGTCGATCCCTCAACATCAGACCAGGAAGAACCAACAAGTGATGGTGATGTACCGTATTTTTCTGACATTGAAGCTATGGCTATTCTTGACCATTTCAATTGCTTATAAGGTATTCCTTCCTTCTTAACCATTTCATTATTATTTTTGTTATTATTCTTATTCTTATTCTTATTGTTTTTGTTTATGTTTGATTAAATTCATTATTCTTATCACTGCATCCACCAGTTCATTCATTCATTCATTGGCACAATTCCTACTTCTGATGTAATCCAGAATGTTTCAAACAGATTAGACGCTTCCAGGAAGGTCGTGTTAAAGGTATTCAAACTATTTATCCTAGGTATTTTTCTTCAAGGTAAATGAGTTCTTGGACCAATCTGCTAATTATCCATCTTTCTATTTTATGTGGTCATTCTCAATTTCCATTCATTTACCCAATTCAATTGGCATCTCTAGGTTAAGGAGTAACGCCTTTTACGCTTCCCATCCAGGATATTGATTTGCAGACTAATTTCAGTTGTCATATTTATTAAGATTGAGATATATGGTATATTACCAACGTGATAACTTTAACAATAATCTTACGGGTTAATTGTGCCAGAAGAGGGGATCCAGGACCGGCCTGTAATTCAGCAGCAATGATCGTTCGTTACATCCTCATGATGTATAGGAAGTTGAGTAGTTATTCCCTTTAAATTTTATAACTCTTAACTAACATACGAAGTATATTGTACTTGGTGTGTATGCAAAAATAACAGGAATGCAGAATATCCAATCCACCCTCGTGGTGTAGGGCTCCCTTTGAACCTAGAGGTATTTTAAGGTAAATAAGTAATTCCTTGTTTCTTTTATTAAACCGTAGCTTAGTTGCACAGTAAGATCATTTCTTTATTCATTATCTTAGGATGTGTTAATCAGTTAAATGTAAGCTGCTCTTCCATTCCCTCTGAACAGTTCGCTAATGGCCGCAGGTATGGTTTAATAAATATTCGTCAGACATGTTTATTACTTTTTGTTGAAATCTGAGAGTTATTTTTATGAAATTATATTTCAAGTCGTAATTTTACTAATTAGAAATGCTTGATATTTTAGGTGTACACGAGCACCTTACGAGATGAGGCTAAGTGGAGGAAATTGATGAGATTCGTGATAGATGGGCAATATATTTTTGTGACAATTTGTTGTAAACTCCATATCGTATTAAGAATGTATTAACAATATAATTTTTGTTGTATCGAACTCCAATAATGTTTGTGATTTTTGGATTGTTAGGATGGTTATAAATAAAGGTTTTGTGTGGATGTTTGATAGTGTTGCACTTGTGAAATTGTCCATTCAGATAAAATATTGTGAAAATGGCAGAAATTAAATTTTGCTTCACTACTTATTGCTGCGGTCGTAAGATAACCGCCGCAAATAACTAATTTTTGAAATTCTTAGCCACCCCTAAAAAATTGTTCTAGTTTCGCCACTGGTTAGAATAAATTATACTACGTGGAATAGAGGACTTGAGAAGTGGTAGGGTCGGATACCCGACCGAGTATATAGAGTACCTAAACGGGTATCCTCATCGGTAGCATGTAGGCATGGACTCGGTTCGGGCCGGGCCCGGTTCGGGCCTTGAACCGGCCGGGCCTCGGTTCACGGTTTGGGAGGCCCGGAACCGGCCCGGGTAACCCCGGGTCCGGTTCGGGCCGGGTGGCCCGCCCGGTTCACGGGCCGGGCCCGGTTCGGGTCGGTCCTTTTCATTTTTTTTTTAATATTCTATACTATATAATTATAATAATTGTTATGAAAAACAAAATTCAAGTGCATTTATTTGAAATAGGAAGTACATTTGAGAATTGAGGAAAAAATAACAATATGAAATACATTTTCGAATAAATAGGAAGTACATTTGAGAAAAGTGATTTGATTTAGAAAAGTGTAAGGAAAGTGATATGATTTAGAAAATTATACATATTGTGTAAGGAAAATGTTTTTAATTTTTTAATTAAGTAAAACTATTTTTACTTAGAAAAGTGATTTGATTTATAATTTACAAATGTTACAAAATAGGTGTATAAGTTGTAACTTGTAAGTTTGTAACAAATTAATTAATTTACATATTAATATTGCATATTTTAATTTAAAAACAGCCTTTAGATTTTACAAAAATAATTTCAAGTTGTAAGTTATAAGTTTGTAAAATTGTAACCAATTAATTAATTTGAGAAGTGCTACATATGAATTATGAAGTACAAGTTTACAAATGAATTCTATTGAATTGAATTATTGAATTGATGTACACAATAATATAAAATAATTCAAGTATATTTATTTCAAATAAGAAAGTACAATTGAGAATTAGGATGCATTTAAAATATGTAATACATTTTGAAATAAAAAATCAATCGGAATCTCCGCCTTCGGTGGTTGTTTCCTCCATAAAGTGGCGGGTGGGAGCGATGGTCATTTCTTGAGTTCTTCGTTTGGCCTTCAACCAATCATGGAAGCAAACTAGCGTCTCAAGAGAGCTCGGGCTCAACCTCGTTCTATAATCAGTTAGGACGTTGCCGGCCGCACTAAATTCTTGTTCCACGGCAACTGTTGATATCGGCATTGCTAGCACTTGCTTAGCCAGTTTTGATAAAACCGGGAACGTTCTTTCATTGTCCTTCCACCACTTAAGAACGTCAAAATCATCCCCAACTTCATAATCAACATTCAATGTTAGATAGATAGAAAGCTCGTTAACTGAGCTTTGTTCAGTAGCGGGAGTTGCTCTACTTTTTTTCATAAGAGAACCAAATGCAGATTTTAAAAGTGATTTTCCTTTAGATGAAGAAGATGTTCGCGGCATGGGAGGGGGTGCATTACCATATTGTGCATAAAATTCATTATACAATTGATGAAATAAATTACTAACCTCGTTGTATTCTTGTTTAGGGTCGATGGGATTATCATCGAACTCTTGAGTTGGAAAAAAACAATTATAATAGTAATCTATACAACTTGGCAACGCGGCAAGTCTATAACGAGGATCAAGAACAAATGCAATACCATATATATGCGGAACATGTGAATAATATTTTAAAAATTTTTGTTTCATGAAATCACAAAAATAACTAACGTAAGCGGCATCGGAAAATTCTAAAAATGCGCCGGCGAGATTAAGAGCTTCAACAAAAAATTCGTTTGCGGTAGGTTTATAAACATGACTAAAAGTTTGAGTCGCGTTATTAAAATATACCAAAACATTAACAATTTTTTCACAAGTGTCGATGTCAGCCGGGTTTATAATATAGTTACAAGTTTGTCTTAAAAAAGCAGGAAAATGTTCTTTATATCTAATAAGTACTTGAATTAAGTTATAAGTACTATTCCAACGAATAGACAAATCTTTAGGAAAAGCACAATAATTGACACGTCTTTCCTTCAAATATTGTCGCCATTGCATTTTTAGTGGAGTGTTAGCCCAAATCAATTTAATTCCCCCCTTCACTACCTCCAAAGCATTTCCTAATGCCGCTAATCCATCTTGTACACACAAATTTAGAATATGACATGCACAACGTTGATGAAAAAACCTACCCATCAATGTAGAAGCACCACACAATTCACGCAATCTAGGTATAGCAGCAGTATTATTACTAGCATTATCAAAACCTACAGCAAACACCTTATCAAGCAAATTATACTCAATTAAAATACGCTCAATGAGAATATAAATATTATCAGCAGTATGACGATCATTGAATTCACGAAATGCAAGAACACGTTTATGCATATTCCAATCATCATCAATATAATGTGCAGTAAGACCCAAATAATATAAATGATGATAAGTATCCTCCCATATATCGCTACAAATACTAACACGTCCATTAAAGTTTGCGAAAAATGTTTGTAAATTTTCTTTTTCGAAGTTATATTGCCTTATAACTTCTTTTTTAATCGTTTTGCGACTATAATTTCTAAATTGAGGATTTAAAGTGCCTTGAGCATAATCTCTTAAAGCAAGACTTTCGGAAAAAATATAGGGTAAATTTTCTTCAACAATTAAATGAGACATACCAGTCAAATGTTTTTGATCATCATAGGAGAAATTACCAAAGGGTTGAGAATTTGCAAACCTCGATATTTGTGTTTGCTTCCCCTTGCCCTTGTCTATTTTCGCATACTCCACAAGATGGGCGGATTTAAGATGCCTTGTGAGACTCCCGTATCCGCCAGAAGTTCCCAAGCTATACTCTTTGCCGCAATGATTGCAACTTGCGTACCATTTTTCGGTATTTTTGTCTTTCCTTTTTGTAAAATTGTTTTCAATAATAGGAGATTTAGATTTCTTACCAGTTTGGGTTGAACCGCCCTCGTCCTCCAAGTCTTGCTCATCATCCGGGGTGCCGTGAGTCCCGTCGCCCCCCGCGTCCTCCTCCGCATCGTCATCCTCGAGCTCCTCTTCATCAATGGTTGTCGGGATGGGTTGTTCTTGTGCAAAGCGTGGATCGTTTTGGGACAATAGGTTTTGTAGATGCTCGTCGGACATCATCATATCATCTCTCCGTTGGTAATCCGTTTCAAAATCATCTCGACTTTGAAAAGAAGACTCGGCCCGCGCTTTACCTTTGCCTTTGCGTGAATTAGGACGAGTCGACGCAATCTCCCTCTTGCGGTTGCGTTGGAGATTACCCACATCTACAGAATGTCTACCACGTTCCATCTTTAAAATTGAACAAATATTAAATGATATCAAATATTTTATATGAGTACAATAGTAATAATAAAATGTGACTAAGAAAACTATTGCGAATTCGAACTAAAATATGAGTATACAAATCGAACTACTTCTAATTAATACTTTAATGAGAAATGTATCAATTAACTAAATATTAACTAGTTTGACTAATATAAATATGAGAAATGTAAAAATTAACTAGTTTTTTTTTTACTTTAATGAGCAATGTACAAATCAACTAATATTAATATGAGAAATGTAACAATTAGGTAGTTTAACTAATATTAATATGACAATTTTAACAATTAACTAATTTAGGTAGTTTTTAAAATGACAAATGTAAAAATTTACTAGTTATTTTTACCTTAATGAGAAATGTATACTTTAACTAA